ATTTTAAGTAATTTTAACAGCTGTCAAACACGTTTTTAGGTTATTTTATAAATATTAAAAGGGTCGTACAAAAAACATTGTGTTTCACTTGTGAGAAAAGCTTTCTTCAAGCTCGTGTTAATGCACACTCGGCCTAACGGCCTCGTGAGCAACGTAAACACTCGCATGAAAAAGTCGCTTTTCAACATTTGTTAAACAAATAACTATAACAATTGTTCTTTAATAGGTTAATATATTAACCTATTAAAGCACAATTGTTTTATTCAAAAAATAATTTCTTAAAATGTATACCTACATTCAGTACAACTACTCTAACGAAGAATAATTTTTATTAATTATGATTTATGAAAAATATACAACATTTGAAAGCTTACGAAAAAAGCTTCTGATATAATAGTAGATAATTAAATAATTTTCAAAAATAAATAAATAAAATCTGACAATTAGTCAAATGTTACCTTCACTTTTTACCAGTTTTAAATGTTATTATAGTCGCCTTCTTCCAATTTAAAACCCGATTGGTTCAAATCACAGTGAATATTGAAATCGGCCAATCACTGAAGCCGAACAAAGTGAATAATGAGTTCATTATTCCCGTTGTATATTGTTGTAATGATTTTATGTTTATCATTATTTTAGGAGTAGAAAAATATTATAACATTTGAAAAAGAATTTAAGACAAAATGCACATCTTAATAATACAAATTACTTAAAGTATGATTGATGCATTCGTATTGTTTCCTCCACTTAAAATATTTTATATATTTTAAAAATAAAGTCATTTAACATTTGTTTTCTACACTTGTGGATACATTTTATAATAATTAAAAATTTGTATTGGTAGTATAAAAATCAAATAAAAACTAAAACAACTTTCTTTAATTTATAACTTTTAATATAAACTGGACAACCAGATACTTAGGTGCTTTATATTTGATTTATCGGGTCAAATGTCTACACTAATTGCAAAATGTGAGAACGATTAAAACATACAGGCCAAGGATATACAATAGATACTTGGTGTATTCAGCAGACATCTCAGTAAACACACAATAACAATAAAATTGAGACCTCGAACTTTATCTCTGGAAGTACTTTTCAAAGGATTAAGGATTAAGATTTTCAGTAAACATACTAATGGGGTTAGGATTTGGTTGGGAAAATGCTAATCATTCCAAACAAAAAATAAAATTACATTTTACCGGTGTATTTTTAAGAATGAAGTTTTCCAGATAAAGTTACTTTTCTTAATCCTTAAACTACATTCATACACATTACTTTTATTATACTTACATATGGTTACAATTAAAATTACGCAGTAAACGATTAAAGTTATTTTTTTAAGAAATGACAGAACGTTTTTGCAAAATCTTTGCTAGAATTAAGAGGTGCATTTCAAAACTCGGCTTATCCATATTAGTTGTTTTCGGGCAAAATGTCAAAAACCTTACACGTGATTGCTAACGCCTATCAGGCCAACACAATACGTTAAACGAAACAGGGTGAGTTTTAAGTTGACGCGTTCCTTTTAACAGTGTGTAGAAATCAGCTAGACAAATAAATATTTTAAGTAACTTTTTTATCAAAACTAGAAAATAAAAAAGTTATAGCCCATCAAAGTTTAATTAAATTTTAAGCCGGTCCTGGCTATTGTTAACGAAAAACATAACCATAAAAATATCAAAATAAACAATGCAAAATGTCATATTTGACAACAAACATAACCATTTAAATCAAATTGACATTTTGCAATAAAAAATGTAATTATTTACTTAAGTTGCAGCATTTGCATTTTGACGACACTCTCCATAAATTAGTAACATTTCCACTAATTCATTATTGCTATAATTATAAACCATTTTTAACAATAATTGAGGCACAAAAAACTGACATTTTTCATTGCTAAATGTCATTTTGATTTAAATGGTTATGTTTTTTGTCATAGATGACATTTTGCATTGTTTATTTTGTAATTTTTATTTTTATGGTTATGTTTTTTGTTAACAATAGCCAGGACCGGCTCAAAATTTAATTAAACTTGGAAGGCCTATAACTCTCTTATTTTTGAGTTTTGACAAAAAAGTTACTTAAAATATTTGTTTGTTTATCTGATTTCTACACGCTGTTAAAAGGAACGCGTCAACTTAAAACCCACTCATTAAAAAGGTATAGCTCCAATTTAAAATAATATAAAATTACATACGTATATGCCGAGTTCTGCATGATATAACCAATAGATAAGGCAAGTTTTGGAACGATAGTCAATTTGTAAATGAATTTTAAATGGAATAAGGTGAGTTTGTACATTTTAAATGTACAGACACCACTAACTAATTTTTATTAAAAAGTGGATAAGCTGAGTTTTGGAGTGAACCTCCTCAATTTATACAGAGTGCAAAAAAAAATGATTATTTTTTTTCAAATTTGACCTTACTTTTTGACCATCATGTATAAAATTTTATTACAAAATTATCAGAAACGTTATCTGTTTTTAAATTTAAAAAATGCTTTATAACTTTGACGTTTTTGAAGGCCTTCTATTAATCATAGAGGGCCAAGGAAATGACTAGGGTTTTAAGGTAACAAGTTACCTAGTGGTATTATTTCTTAAAATTAAAAATGCTGTATCCTCCTTTCTAAAAAGTTTTTATTCTATTAAAAAATATTTTGAAAATTTACTAAATTTTATCTTCTTTTTATCTTTATGCTGATATATGTTTTTTCAACAGTATGTAATTGTTAAAAATTTTATATGTATGTATATTGTAATTTTGACGTTTCCCTATACAATTTTGAAAATTTTCGTTTTTAGAAATAAATATTAGTATTGTTATTATTATTATTTTTATTATTATTAAAATTTCCGGAGAAATTGACACAAAAAACGAAAAAAATTGTGAAATTTTCAGAAAAATTGACTTTTGCATTTTTTTCATTTTATTCAAAGGGCAATACGAAAAAATGCAAAAGTCAATTTTTCTGAAAATTTAGAAATTTTTACGGATAATATCTATACTCTGATATCGAGAAAAAAGTGAATTTTTGACGCCGAATATAGGTAATCATAATATTATGATTATAATTATTCTTTTTATATTAATTCAATAAGAATATTCTACCGGGTCGAAAAAAAAAACTTATTCGGTGCTGTATTAACATAACTTTAGTTTTATTTGACACATCTATTTATAACATTATAATTGAGGAGCATCCGTGCAAAACCGGCTATATCCACTTTAATTAACAGTCTCGGTTTCCTGGCCTTTCGGATAAAAGAAAAAGCAAACTTGAGTTTTGTGGGCTTTGTGGTACTTGATTTATAAGACATACTTTCGTTTTCAAAAACTTTATATTAAGGCCAAAATTTCAAAAAATGTTTTTTATATAGCTGGTTTTGCTCGAAAACCGAATAAAAAACGAAGAAAATGTGAAAAAACCTTTATTATTCAAAAATATTAACAAAATAAATTTAGTGCAAACATGAATAAACAGAACAAATTTTAGTAGTAGTATCGGCATATCCAAGCCACCTATTATTATTTATTGGATATAGCCGGGTTTGCTTTAAAAACGTGGATTTGGCCGGTTTTGCTCCAAAATCTACCTTTTAAATGTGATTTTAACATGGATATAGTCGGATTTAAACAGAATTATCTTGGTTGTCGATAAAAATAAACCCAAAGATGTGAAAACAAAAAAAAAACAAAAACTGAATAAAATGGATTTAGCCGGTTTTGCACGGATGCTCCTCAATTTAACTTAACTTAACTATAAATTATTCATTATTTTGTATTCGGATATTTTCAATAGACTTTTTTTGCAAAAAAGTCCCAAAAGACAGTAAAAGTATATTTTTTGTAAATTAAAATAATGTAAAGTTGTTGAAAAAATTTACACATTTTCCAAAAAAATTCTATTTCTCCCAAAAAATACAATTTTTAAAAGGCCTGAAAAAAACAGAAAAAAAGTTTTTCCACAATTTTTTCTTTAAAACTTTAGAACCCCAGAAATGACATGACATTTTTTTGTTCTTTAAAAGATAGAGCTTTTTTAATTTTTTTAATCGGTCTATTTCAAATATATACCGAATTGTCGCTTGTGGCCAATCAAAATGAAACGGTTATAAACACATTAAATCAAATAATTTTAAATCCCCTGTATAAAACAGTACGACAAAATTTTATTTTTTTACCATAGATTTTGAAAATAGATAAAATGATACCCGTGTCTCGGCATTTTTCAGATCACGTCATTTTTTTTAAATGTGCCAATAAAATGTTATCCACGGTATTCGGCACATAATATAACAGATTCGATAAAGCTATTATATAGTATATTTTTAGGAAAAATTTATTCACTGAATAAAAGGACAACCATTAAGATTATTTATTTACTTTAAAATTATTTTAATTATATACAGGGTGTTGCACATTTACGAAATAAGGGTGTTTTACGTTTGTGGTCCATTGAGAGTTTCTAAGGATCCATTTGAAATTTATTATTGATTATAATCCAATTAAGTCTATTTTTCTAAAATATTTTAATTTGTTATTTTAAATGGAACACCCCATATATTTTTACATTTTTAAATTTTACCTAAAATTTTGAGTAAAATTACTGTACGTGTTGTACTGTGTAATATTTAATTTTCTAATAACAAGTGTTTAAACGTAAAAGTGATTGTGAAAAAAAACAACTTTATAAACCGCAATTTAAATTTTTATAATTAATTTGTTTTCAATGTGATGTTCTTAAATTGGTAAAAAATTAATTATTTTTAAAAACCTTTTTTCAAAATTAAATTTTGTTATTAAGAAAACTTGAAATTAAAAATAAATATATCGAAAACCAGAGCTAACATAAAAAACCCTAAACACGTGTTTATTTTTTGTAAAACAGCATCCATTTTTATGCTTCAAACCCAGATAAAAAAATTATAACCAAAAGAAGAAAGTTTAAAGTTTTCAAACTTTTTTAGCCAAAAAAAACAAATTAGGTACCTTTTTATAATTTAATTTCAGCCACAAATATGCACTTAATTATCCTGAACCAGTAACTTATCACATGGTTCTATCACTGAACAAAAAATCGCTTACAGTAGACGACGGAGCGCAAGAAACTCGCAATATCGCGACGCTCGGGCAGCGCAACGCTTTCTACGGTGGATACGACGCCGATTTCAAAGAGACGGGCGATGCGGTTATACTGAAACGTTTCTCGTTAAATTTGTCAGATAGCTGAAAACCTGTCGTGCGCTCTCGCCTTTTCACATTTTCGCATTTTCAGCGCTCTTTTGTCAACCTTACTCTATTTATCGTTTGATGTTTTCAGAAAATTATAAAAACAATTTGTTTAAGAGAATCGAATTGATTTTAGGTAAACTAATCCTGTGGTTGTATATTGCGCAACTAATATAAACTTAAGGCAAATAATTAATAACTTTGGTAAAGTTGCTTTTAGACTGATATTAATTTGACGTAAACGCATACACAGTAAAAAAATTTGCCCGTGTAAATTTTTTAGTGTAAAAAGGGTAAACATATTAGAGTTGATTTGTAAGTGTAAAAGTTACACTACAAAATACATTAGGTAGCATTAAGTGCTTATTAACTTTATTAAACACATTTAAAGAAAATGAACATTATTCATTGGTACATTCACATTATTTATTATTAAAATAAATAAAAAGGATAGAAAAACCTAATGCGAGTGTTAATTACCCCTTAATGTGTTAAATAGTGACAAAATGTACACTACAGTGCATGCCAATTTCTTTGTCTGCTTTGATGTTACTAAGATCTCTTTTTCTTTACACTACTAGTGCAAATTGTATCACAATTAAAGTTACATTACACCAATAGTGGCAAAATAGACTTAAAAAACTGGTAATAACCGAAATTCGTTTTAAAATGTTTGGTTGGTACCTATCTACCTACGCAGTGCATATCCGGAGATACCGCGTTGTGGAAGTGCGGCATTTTTATTCAGTTAAATTTTAATTATGGTAAATCCATAAGAAGACATTCTTATTTTTTGGTAAGTATTATACTTCCTTTTTCTTTAAGCCTTAATACTCAATAAATACCAATATGTTAAAAGGATGTCCATACCCGACCTATATTATGTATCAATAATTTACTGAAGTAGGTCGGGTACTTGTAACATTAATAATATAAATACATACACACTTAATTTACTTTTTATTTTCAAGCGTAATGGTTGTTATATTAACCTATGCCTACATTTTTATTAATATTATGGAAAATTTGTACACGTGTGGTAAATCCCCGACATACAGCCGCCTGACGCCTCTACAAATGGGAACACCCATTTTTTATAACAGAAAAATGGATTACTGAAGATAATTCATTGCTTACAAGTTAACAGTCAGTAAAACATTGCATTGATCTAAAACTTTTACGTTTTAAGGAACCATTTTGCCAGCCATACGACTCAAATATAAAATTATATTTTAAAAGGCACCGATTTTGATAATTGTCATAGATTTTTGTTCCAAATAAATGTTTCTCTTTATTCACTACCACCAATAAGTTTTACTCAAATAATAGTGTTAATTTACACTGAACAAAAGTGGGATTTTACCCAGGAAGTGCAGAAGTACACGATTTTAGGTAAATTAACACTTTTTAATACAGTGTAAAATTACTTTATCCTCACTGCTATAGTGTTAAATCATACTTGCTTACTTGGGGAAAATTATACTACAAATTAACTCTAATTGTAGTGTTATAAAACAACACTATTTACTGTGGACCTGTGTGAACTCTAATTAGTGTTGCTTAGAGTTGATTTTTTTTACTGTGTATTTACATATTAAAATATTTTTAACCAAAAAAATAAAACAAGAATACACAAAAAATCTTAACTTAACAAAATTATCTCATCAGGTACATAAAATATAAATTAAATTATTCCTGATTTAAAAGACAAATAGTTTTATGTCCTACTGTAATTGAATGAATTTTATTGAATATCATTTTATTATAAATGAGATAATTACACAATTAATTAAAAATATAAATATCAAAATTGTGGCAATATTTTTCGATGGTTAAAAACAATACAAGTTACCTATCGTTTGTCCTTTTTGTTATTTTTATATATATACGGGCACGAGCACGGCGTACAATTATATTATAAATATTATAAATCAATTTAATGGTCTACTTTTCTTAAAATTATGTGAAGTACCTAACACGTTTAAATAAATGTACTTATTAATAATAGTTCACTCAACACACACTGCATTTTTATCTGCATAAAATTATGTACTGCATGTATTTCATACACTTGTTTTGTGGTTCGTAACAAAGAACAGTTCTTTGGTTCACAATGTCGGCCTTGCGTTTGCTAGCACACCTAACAAAAAATATTTTTAACAATAGTTATTTATGTCATTAGGTTAAGAAGTAAGACTTTTTGTGCTAAGCTCAAGGTTTACAATTGAGCGAAGCACAAAAAGGCACTTCTTGGCCGAATGGCATACAACATTTAATCTTCAAAGCACTTTATATAGGTCAATTTAATTCAACATCAAAGCGGCCTAACCTCACTTTTTTAAAATCTCATTTATTTATTAGCTAAAGATTACATTAAATGTATTATTGCTTTTAGAAGCAGTAATAGTTTGACAATACCTAGCTACATGATTTAAGTAAAAATGAATTTTTGCTATTACATTGAATTCAATTAATTGTTTAATAAATAGGTAGGTATCTAATTTCAATTTGTTTGGATTTTTATTTAAAAAATAGGTAGTTTGGAATGTTTAAGCTGTGTTTAACATTTAATTTCACTGAAAACTTAAAGCAAATTAAAACATAAAGATAATTTAAATCGTAGAAAAAGAATCGTGCGTTTTCTTGGTTGCCTAACCTCACTTTTTGTTTTATTATTCATATTTAATTTTACAATAATTTAATGAAAAATATTAAACATAGTTAAGACTTTTTGTGCTAAGCTCAAGGTTTGAAGGCCGACGCGTAGCGGAGGCCTACAATTGAGCGAAGCACAAAAAGGCACTTCTTGGCCGAATGGCATACAACATTTTATCTTCAAAGCACTTTAGGTCAATTTAATTCAACATCAAAGCGGCCTAACCTCACTTTTTTAGAATCTCATTTATTTATTAGCTAAAGATTACATTAAATGTACAATAATTATTATTGCTTTTGGAAGCAGTAATAGTTTGACAATACCTAACAACATGATTTAAGTAGAAATGGAATTTTGCTATTACATTGAATTCAATTAATTGTTTAATAAATAGGTAGGTATCTAATTTCAATTTGTTTGGATTTTTATTTAAAAAATAGGTAGTTTGGAATGTTTAAGCTGTGTTTAACATTTAATTTTACTGAAAACTTAAAGCAAATAAAAACTTAAAGATAATTTAAATCGTAGAAAAAGAATCGTGCGTTTTCTTGGTTGCCCAACCTCACTTTTTGTTTTGTTATTCATATTTAATTTTACAATAATTTAATGAAAAATATTAAACATTTACAGTAAAACAAACAAATTAGTGCTTATTATAAATAAATTAAACCATTTTACTACGTTAATTTCTCAGAAAAGGATTAATTTGTCAAAACAATACCCCTAGCGAGAAAAAATCGAACTAATTACTTGCCTCATAAAATTTTTTATCGGCCTAGGCCATAACAAGGTATTTCTTTATCGAATGTTGACAACAATAAAGTTTAAATTATAGACCACGTGGAGATAAAAATTATTTATGTTTTTCTGTAAAATTTTCATTTTGGCGCGTACTTAGCTTTTCTGATTTGATGCCCTCGGTTTATTTTCTTTCCATGTTTTTGTTTAGTTTTCTTTTGTTGTTTTGTTTTTTTTATTGAATCTTTAAAAACACAACTAAAATTAAACAAAAACAAAAAGTTTATAAAAATACCTTAAAAGTTCTAAAATACCAGTTATAGAAAAGATAATTGCAAATTATAGCATTTAATTTCAAAAGTTTCGATAGACGGTCAGATTTATTCACTATAGAGAAGAAAGAGATTTGTCATTTCCTAAGGGTCCTTTTTCCATTTCCTTAAATTCTCGATAAGTTTAAAAACTCAACAGGATATTATAAAAAGTATTAGTATTTAAGGAGGCTCGGGCACGATATTAGTCGCTATGACAAAATGCTCAAAAAATTCTAGGTTGTAGTAAAGTCTACTTAAAAGACATTTACAAAGTTTTAGAAAGGTGCATTTTTGTTAACCGCACAGTTTTGCAATAACAAACGATAATTTTAAATTTTTCCAACCAAAATTATCACAATCTGTCATTTTTGTCTAGAAGATCCGGCAACACTGGATTACAAACAGGTAATTATCTTAGGATATTTGATTTGATTTATTATTATTCCGTTTTTAAAGTAAATTATTAAAAAAAAACACAATTGAAGGGGTAAGAAGCAAAGGTGAAAATAGGTTAATTGTAGAATTGGGTAGTTTAGAGTCCAATTTTTTTTTTAATTTTCTTATAACATGAAAATTCAACGAATTCTGCATGTTGATTAATGCAAACAACAATATTAAAACAAGTATCCAGATTTTTGTATGTAGCAAAAACTTTAAAAGTTAATAACTCCACTTCTCTTTTTTGCACTTGTACCCTCTTGCTTCTTTCTCCTTTAACTGTATTGTTTTTTATTATAAGTTATTCTTTTTTTTAAATAGTTAGACAATCCTGCTCTTATGGTTTCTGATCTTTGTTTTCTGCTCTTCTGGAGACTTTCACTGCATTTAACAAACTGTTTCCATTTTTTCTTTATAGTGGACTTATTTTAGGATTTAAAATAACACTGCATAAATAAATGTCACTGCAACTGTCAAAAGCAAAAAGCGTTACCATAGAAACCATCAACAACTCCAAATGTTGTCGCGTTTAAATCCTATTTTTTACGTTTTTTTAATTTAATTTAATTTACGTTCGTTTCGATCTGGCAAAAAGTTTTACATTCTTTTCTACCCTTTGAAAAACATTTTAATTAATTAATTAACTAATTAATTAATCAATAATCCTATTCAGTATAATCGTAGCTTAAGCCTATAAATTGAGTATATAATACCTTAAAATCGTTGAATTGCATTTATTTTATTATACAGGGTGTTATGTAATTAATGTTAT